TGTACCAACGGACTACTACTTAGGTTAGAGATCTTGATGGCTTTCTAATTTATCTCTGTGTTGTGACACTCTAGCATTGTAATATTCTAATGGTACTAGTGTGTTTCTTTTAGCTTACAAAATAGCTTTGTCGTGATATGTGCTACACTTTACATTTCTAGTATATGTTGTATGAGAGCTGTATTTTAAATTACCCATAGGTATAAGGCACGCTCTTGTTTGAGTTATCTATAAGTTGCATCCTCCCTGCTCTCAGGGACCTTGTGGAGGCTTACTATACTCTAAAGCGTCTGAAAAAGTGGTGTGAATCGCTGTTTAAAAGTTAAGTGTTAAAAATTAAATTGTATAAAACTACTTTAGGACCTGCTTCAATCTAAGTGTGCTCATGTCTCTCCCTCTATATAGATTTTACGCCATATTGTGGCTGTGGATTTAATTTTTTCAAATATCATTTTCATTAAATATAATAGAACAATGATTCTGCTGCTTGATTTTTCTCGCTGGGAGATTTCATAATAATGTAAAGCTTATAGGGAACCGCCGTGCAGTGTGTAGACCTAGTAAATTTTCTTCTTACTTTCGCATTAATAATCCTATATTGAGATTGTAAACAATTATGTGAAATCATAAAATAAGGGCATTTAGTGAATTAAATAAAATGAGAGTCCAAAGGGAAAAGAAAAACTATCCTTACATTCGACAATGTTCCTCTTTTATATTTGAAAGCACATATAATATTATAATATGGAGCATATGCCAGCATAGCAGGAAAAGACCTCGCACTCGCAGAAAAAAGGGAGCGCGACATAGCTTTATCTCTCACAAAGACGAAATCAAGAACGAGGACACAGACAACTCTAAGAGTATTATATAAATGCCTTATTTAAGTATTCACATCATTACCGCCGGTTGTTGGCCGGCGAGGCGGAAACCCACCATCCCTTACTTCTATACCAACGTACTACGTATGCATAAGTGTAAATATTGTCTACACTGCCAAATGAAATGAGACACTCTTTTTCTAGTGCTTATCTTGATATATTTCTCTATCGCCTTTACACTTACTATCTTGCGCAAAGTAGAACCAATATGATCGTTTCCTAGGATGCTACATCGACATGTGCCCTAAGTGCACTGATTCGTTATGCTCTATTCTTAAGATTAATATAGATTCCTAGACTCTACTCAACCAACACATGATAAGAGAATTTCTGATTAACTCACCCTAGAAATATAATGAATTCTAGGGGAGAATAGGCCATAAAATTCGTTCAGGTTGCATGCATTGCATTCTCTCTTCTTTTAGTACAATTTCCCCGCATTTGAGTAGAGTCCGGATAATCTGGCCCTATGGGATGAAGGTGCCGACCTAGGAAGTAGTCATTCTCAAAATTTATATTTTATAAGCTTTTTTTTTTTAGAGCATTTCTATATCGTCCACGTATGATTTGGAGAACTAGTTTCGACCCAGCATATTGGCCTCATTTGACATATTAAGCAAACTTAATAAAATTTAAATTTAATATTGCATTAGTAATTAGTAAGCCGTAAGTAAATCCACTAAGACGTGTTGGTGATCACTTAGAAAATTATCGTAGTCTGATCGCCCGCTCTCAAATCCAAGTGGCTCTAAAACTACTCCCTCCCTATTATCTTACATTGGCCTGACCCAATAACATAGAGATTTTATTTACCGATTAGGTGGTTTTAGCTGGCTTCCTTTTCCATGCATAAATGAAAGAGGTCCAGATGTATTACGTTACAGTCGTAATGATTATGTCGTCATATGTGATTCCGCAATACGACAACACATTCACTTTTATAGATTTAGTCAAAGGTTGATGGTACAGGGCGTATAAACACACCTTCTACACTTGTCATTGGTGGATCACAGCGTACGCATACCTTTACGGAAGCATTAAACCCTACCATCTGCATCACACAGATGATAGCCGTACCTGCTTACCTTCTCATCTAGTGAATGATTGAGAGCATACATACTATAGTGTACTTCTCTCTTATCCTCTCTCATATTTTCTCTTCCTATTTCATACCGCTACTTCCTCAGTCGAATGCGATTTTTGAACCATGTGTGACTTATTTGATACAAACTCAATAAATGAAGAGCTATTATCTTCTCCCTATAATTTTATTGGAAAACTAGAAACCTCCTTTGCACTAATATCATTTGGAGAGGAAGATTAAGTCAAACATCCTTATAGAGTGTCCTAAGTCAAGGCTCAGATATAATTAACTATGGGCTTTGCGCTTCCATGATGGAAACCGATGCCCCATAATCAAATAAATCTCATTCTGGCGTGTGATGATATCGCGCGAAATAGTGAGGGAAATCTGCTTGAATGGGATGGGTAGATAGATCCAATGTATCTACATGACGCTCATGATTAAAGTGGTGTGTGGTAGGAGGAAGAAGCACCTGCCACTTATGCCGGGCCATGAAGCGACTGAATCATATTATAACTCGATGTGGTGTCGTCAACTATAGTAAGGCCCGTCGGTTTGTCGAATTGTAACGAGGTCACTTCTGGTGCATTCTTTATTCATTATTTTTTTTGGTAAGCACAAAGTCCACAATGTACCTTATTTTTATGTGATACATACATAAATCAGGATATATAAAAGTGGTTCGAATACTTCTTTGCATCGAAAACCCATTGACCAAGAAATATCGTTCTTTTGAGGGACACCTCTACAGAAATTCTATTTAGTCTCTATTTAAATAATAATATGTTAAAAAATTGTCTAGTGACCACCATGGGGACAGGTTTCTCTCTCCATCGTGTTGGATGTTAAAATTATCTTCTTGTAAACTGCCCGCCAGGTTTAAGAGTTAATTATCTGTCATTCTTATATGTATATATATATATATATATTGCGTCCTGAAATATTCGCGGCGGTAGAGAAATATATAGTTTAATGTCTTAGCATTGTACGAAGATCCAGCACACAATCAGATAAGTGAGAGGGTGTAACATTCATAAGAGACACTAGAGTTTTTATGTGGAAAACCCCTAAAAAGGGGGAAAAACCACGGGGCCTGGCCCAGTTTTAATGAATCCACTAGTATTTGCAGTCGGTTACAAATGAGGCCCTTTCTTGAGAGAAGGCCTTTGATTGATGTAACAAATGTACATGAAATAGATTGCATTACATGGTGGGAGTTACATATACATATTTATTTGATCAGAAGGACCGTAGTCGGCAGGAGATCGGGGTCAGAAAGACCGTTGTCAGTTGATGGAGGTCGGACCGTAGTAGGCCACGAAGGCCTGAAGTACCGTAGTTGGTAGGAGATTGGGGTCTGAAAGACCGTTGTCTGTTGATGGAGGTCGGAAGGACCGTATTAGGAGACGAAGGCCTGAAGGACCGTAGTCGGTAGGAGACAGGGGTTTGAAAGACCGTTGTCTGTTGATGGAGTTCAGAAGGACCGTAGTAGGCGACGAAGGCCTAAAGGACCATAGTCGGTAGGAGACTAGGGTCTGAAAGACCGTTGTCTGTTGATGGAGGTCAGAAGGACCGTAGTAGGCGACGAAGGCCTAAAGGACCGTAGTCGGTAGGAGACTGGGGTCTGAAAGACCGTTGTCTGTTGATGGAGGTCGGACGGACCATAGTAGGTGACTGAGGTCAAAAGGACCGTAGTCGACAGTATTATGGGAGAACTATGGGCATTAGGTGGTGGCCTAGTGGAGCTCACGACCTTTGATGATGATCTGGCGAAGACAAGGGCCTCTAGCAAAGGTGAAGGTCTCTGGCGAAGGTGAAGGTCTTTGGTAAAAGTGAGGGCCTCTAGCGAAGGTTAGGGCCTTTGGAGAAGGCGAGGGCCTCTGGCGAAAGTGAGGGCCTCAGATGAAGACGTCAGGCCTGAACGTCGGGCCTTGAGCATAATGTTGGGACTTTAGCAGAACGTCGGGCTTGAACGTCGGGCCTTCAGTAGAACGTTGGGCTTGAACGTCGGGCATGAACGTCGGGCCTGAACGTCAGGCCTTGAGGTGGTGGTGCTGTGAAACTTTGACGGTGGTCCGGCGAGACTCCGGTGGTGGTACGGCGAGGCTCTGGCGGTGGTCCGGCGAGGCTCCGGTGGTGGTCCGGCGAGGTTCCGGCGGTTGTCGAGGAGGAGCTTCTTCCTTCTCTTCCTTCTCTTCTCTTCTTGCTTGGATCCCCTCTCACGAGAAATGAGGGCTATATTTATAGATTTTATGGAGTGGCATGGCTCGTACATAGGCGTGAGATCAGGGGCGAATAGGGAGTGGTTGAATGGACGGTCGATATCGAATCCTTTGATCATGTACTGTTCGTTGGACATTTGAAGGTCATAATGATGTTGGAATTAAGTGATCTTGGGCTCGTTGGATTCGTCTCGTCGAGCCGTTCGATTCGAGTATAAGCTCGTCGAAATCGGACCCATTTGGGCTCGGATTGGATCGAACTTGGTGTCGTTGGGTTCGTATTTCCGAGACGCTCAGTTTGACTATACGTTTGTTGAAATCCGAGTTGAGATGGTCTCCAAATTAATTTTTGAAGTTTCCAACTTGATTTTGCATCGAGATTCATGCCCGATCAAAATAATTTTTACATGACGTATCAATTTAATTTTTGCATGACGTATCAATTTTCGGAGCTACAAAGGAACTAAAGCCTCAAGCTATTTCTGAAATCTAAGGCCAAAACAAATTCCCGAAGGAGATTAGCATATTACCAAAGGAGATTACCGTATTACCCTCGCACGAATCATAAAGTCGCTTTGCGTTGGACAGATGTTCATGTCTGGAATAATCTAATCTCCTAATTTCCACTTTCCTTAACGGTGGACTTCACATTTGAAGTGGACCATAGGAGAAGATAAGAAGAAGATAGGAAGATCTGATTTGGCGACGCTCCAAATCCTTCTCTGCCCTCTCATTGGTCCAGAAACAAACCAAGAAATCTCAATCCCCGCCATTCACTCCACTCACCAAGTCCTTAAGCCACCTCTCTCGCCACAACCTTATAGAAACCAGAAACCATAGACACCTTTCGTTCACAACATCGAATGTAAAAATATCACAAACCAGAGGAAAACTCAGCCTGAGAATCAATGGCAGCCACCATCATCAGGCCAACTCCATTCCTCGGACAGGCTCGGTCGGCTTCGGCCACCCCAAACCCTCTCAAGGAAGCCCTGCAAATGGGAAACGGAAAGTTCAGAATGGTGAACAATCCAAATTCATAAAAAAGATAACATTTTGAAGTGTTTCATATCTTCAAATTTCTTATTTTGTGTGTGTTTTCAAATCAGGGTAATGAGCTGTGGTATGGACCTGACAGAGTGAAATACTTGGGACCTTTTTCAGCACAGACACCGTCATACCTTAATGGAGAATTCCCAGGCGATTATGGTTGGGACACTGCTGGGCTCTCGGCCGACCCTGAGGCATTTGCCAAAAATCGTGCTCTTGAGGTAAAGGATTATCCTTTTGCATCAAACTTCATCAAGATTACAGTTTTCAGCGTCCGTTCATCCTTCTTCTCTTTAGAATTCTTACAGGAGATTTCTTAATAGTTTCCAGAAGAAATGCCTGATAAAAAATATGACATGGATTCTTTTTACATAAAAATTTATGCAGCTTCCTCTTGTTTCCAAAAGTAATTGAATGGTATGTAGATTTTAAAGTTAAATCTTATGAGAATTCAGCTTCTCAGTGACCAAAACTTTCATTTTGGGAGCCACTTCGGTCTCCAATGCTAGCTAATCTTCTACGAATATCACAAAGAAAAGCAAAAATTCCGCTTTGTTTTAAGAGAGATTATTAGATGTGCAATAAGCAGCAGTTCTCCATTATTGTGCTTTCTTCCAGGTGATCCATGGGCGATGGGCAATGCTCGGAGCTCTTGGATGCATAACTCCTGAGGTTCTGCAGAAGTGGTTGAGAGTGGATTTCAAGGAACCAGTTTGGTTCAAGGCTGGCTCCCAAATCTTCAGTGAAGGAGGCCTCGATTACCTTGGCAATCCCAACCTTGTCCATGCGCAGAGCATCCTTGCTGTGCTTGGCTTCCAGGTAGTTCTCATGGGTCTTGTTGAGGGCTACCGCATCAATGGCCTGGATGGAGTTGGAGAAGGCAATGATCTTTACCCCGGCGGCACCTACTTTGATCCTCTTGGCCTTGCTGATGATCCATTAACATTTGCTGAGCTGAAGGTGAAGGAGATTAAGAATGGCCGGCTTGCAATGTTCTCCATGTTTGGTTTCTTTGTTCAGGCCATTGTCACAGGGAAAGGGCCATTGGAGAACCTCTTGGACCATCTGGATAACCCCGTAGCTAACAATGCGTGGGCTTATGCCACCAAATTTGTTCCTGGCTCTTGAGCAACAAGAGGTTTTCAAGAGCTTTGGAGATTGAATTTGTACTGTGAATTATGCTCATGATCAATCCATGATGATTTTCCTTTCTTGCTTGAATGTAGTTATGTATATTTTTTTCTTTTCACTTGACAAATTTGAATGTTGAAGGCTTAGGATGAATCAATTTCATTAAATAGTTGAGATGTTGCTTTGCAGCAGATAATTAAGCGATCAGGATTCCCTACAGTCTTGAACAATCTCTGGAAGGGAAAAGCACAGAGGGCTTGTTTGGCTTATTGAAGCTGAATGTATGCATTCAAAGTCATTGTTTGGTTGGATTCAGATAGAAATTAATATTGTTTTGAAATTAATCAACATATATATTGCACTCGACCAATCCTATAATAATCACTCAAATATAGATTCTTAATTTTCACCAATAAAATAAGTCAAAATTAAATTAATAAATTCTTCATTGGTGCAACAAAAATTAAGGTATGGTGCCCTTCCTAGCTTACACTTAATAAATTTAATCTGTTGTGTATAAGTCTCTTCTCTTTTTTTTTTTACAAAATATGAGTTTATTCCAATAATGAAAGAGGATACTATCAGCTTAACCAAAGAAAAAAGAAAGATTACACATCCAAAAACAAAAATGATGAGATAGCCAACTGCACTCAGAAAAAGGCACGTTTCCTGCAACCATCCAGATGTCAAAGGCGGAAACTAACAACAACCCACTAAGAAGTAAATGAAAGAAGCAGCAACATCCCAAACAAGGCCATCAAACAAAACAAGTTGAAACACCACCAGTGGCTGCTGATAGGGCTCGACAGTCCATGCTCATTGCCCATAAAAGGATCGAAGAAGCTGCTAAACCAACCCCCGGCAGCACATCCACCCAAATTAGAGCCAAACACATCTGCAAAAATCCCGAACTCCAAGCAACCAAGAAAGTGACATAAAACAACCAAATATTAGACCTTTTCTTGATTCACCTCTTCTTCACACTTCTTAATAAATCAAGAAAAGAAAATTTTGAAAGATATGGGTGCATATAGTTATGTTAAATGTTAAGACACTTGGAAGAGAGTGAATAACCGTTGGCACTTCTGTGCATTTCTTTATTATTATTATTTTTTTTGGTAAAGCACAAAGTCCACATTTATATGATAATAAAATAATATTAAATTTATAGAATGTTGAATTAGAACATTAGTCTCTATTTAATAATAATATGTTAAAAAAAATTTGTCTACAAGGGAGGAATCATAAGAATTCATCTTAGGAGTGCTAGAACGCTTAACTTTAGGGTTTTTAAAAAAAAAATTTCTCCGGTTATATAAAAAAACGTGTTGATGTTTAGTGTTTAATTCCATTAAAATTAAGGGATTTCACATAAATATTAAAATAAAATTAATTTTCATAAATTGATCCAAATACATTAAAGTAATTATAGTGAAATAAATGGTCCCTAAAATGGTAAGAAAATGTTATGAGTTTTGTTCTACTTTCTAAAAATAAAATAAATGATATTTGAACTTATTTTTATAAAAGGAGCAATTAATTTGAGAAAGTATCGTCGATTTAGCTTTGCAAAGAGTTTTTATTAATTCATTAAATCAATTGAAGCTATGACCTGAATTTTTATATAAACATTTGTCTGAAGTATGATATTTTTAAACTGTTTAAAAGAAGAACAGGGCAGTTGGAAATCATTGAACAGGATCAAAGAGAATTTTCAGAAGTTAGTTTTTTGTTTGATGTTCTTTGCAAAGAGTTTTTATTAATTCATTAAATCAATTGAAGCTATGACCTGAATTTTTATATAAACATTTGTCTGAAGTATGATATTTTTAAACTGTTTAAAAGAAGAACAGGGCAGTTGGAAATCATTGAACAGGATCAAAGAGAATTTTCAGAAGTTAGTTTTTTGTTTAATGTGTCATAACTTTGTATGATATATAGGTTTTGTTTGGCATAATTTTTTGTCACTATTTTTTTATTCATATATATATATATATATATATTAAAAAATTCTCATAGAAAACAGCTAGACAACTGTCAGGAAAGAAGACATGATGTCAAGTGAGCTTCAAGGTGCAATTGCTCGGCTTTTCTTACACAAATTTTCTAACCTGATTAACTAGAATCAGAGTTATCAAGGGAAGCTACAGCTGATGGAGGAGCTCAATTTGTTGGATAGGTTCTCTTATGTCCCCCGGATGGTTTTGGAGCTCCACTAGGGCTTTGCCCTAGCCGCCGCCTATCCGTCTGACAGCAAAATTATGGCTCCTCCTTTCAGTTTTTTAAGGTGGTCTCTTTCCTCTCTTCTTGCTTTTGTTCTTCTCCTTTTGTTTTTTGGTCTCTCAGCATGATTTTCACCTCAATCGCCTCGTCGACCGAATGGTGGACTCATAGTTGCTTGATCCGGATTTCCTGAAGGTGAAGTGGCATTCTCGTTCATTTTTGGATGTTTTTTTCGTAAGTTCTTTTTTAAATGGATTTCCTGATCTTAAGAATTATACATGCATTTCGTGGGCTTCCTTCCCTATGGATTTCCGAAGAGGAAATTTTAGCTTTAGCAGCTCCATTTGAATTTTCTTTAGTTGGTAAATTCCATGATCGTAGGCCATCACTTGATTCAATTAGGAATTTCTTTTTCAATCTTAAGCTTAAGAGAGTTTTCTTTGTTACCCTTCTAAATCTCAAGCATGTGTTAATTAAACTTGAGAATGATTTGAATTATAGTCGCATCTTCTCCCATCGATTGTATTTTGTGCATAACTGCTACATGAAACTTACCAAATGGTCGCCTTTCTTACACGTCAACGTGGATTCCTATGTTATTCCGATATGGGTATCCTTCCCTAATCTTTGTCCTCATTTGTTCTTCATGGTTTGGGTTCTTTGTCCGGTAAACCTTTAAAAATTGACAGTGCAATATCCGTTGGATCGAGACCTTCTGTTGCCCACATACTGGTTGAGCTGGATATCTCCGAGCATTATCCCGATCGTATATGTGTTGGCCCAAATACATTTGGTTTCATTCAATCTGTTGAAATGAAAGCTTCTCCTTCATTTTGCGATTTGTGTAAAGCATTAAGACATTCAGCTGTGGAATATCACAAACTTCGCCCTCATTTAGGTGATAATCTGGTGGGCACTTTGTCCTCACCCCCACATGTTAATGATGTTGTTATTGGTTATTTTATGGATGGCATGGATGAGAGAACTCATGTGGTTAATACTGTGATTAATAGTAGCCCCAACACTGATGGTTTTTCTCTTAGTGATGTTCCCTCTACTTAAAATGTTGAAGTATTGCCTGTTTTTTATTTGAATGAAGGTGAGTTAATTGTTGGTTAAAAGGCTATTGATATTACTAATGTTAGTCTTCCTCCTTATGTTGTTGTTTCTAATTTGGAGAATAACAATTTGTTTGGATCGAATGGTGCCATCAATGATGGCATGCAAGGTGCTGTTGGGCTTGGTTTAAATGTCATTCGTGACTCTACTGATGATAATAATATTACTATCAATAGTAATTTCTTGGTTGTGTCGACACATATTGCTGGTGTGGTGTTCAATGGCGTTCTTAATCCTAATGAGCTAACTCCTTTTTGTGGTTTTAATCATGTGGATTTAATTAGCATTTCCACTGGTATTGTTAATGCTTCCTCTTTGTTGTATTCGATTAAGGATGAGCCTCTTATAGATGTCCCTATTTCTTTTCTTTCTAAGGATGATCTGATAGATCATTTGGGTGTTGATTCGAATGCTAAGGATGTGGTTCACAGTAAATGGCTTGTTGGTGACGATTCCTTAGCTCTTGAAAATGATGGAGAGGATTTTCATGAGCCAGAGGACGATTCTTTGGAATTATATGGATTAGATGTTATTCACATTGTTGTGATGATTCTTTCAAGAAGGATGGTAAAAGGAGGAGAAAAAACAAAAAGAAATAATTTCTTTTGAGTGCTTTCTTCCTTCTTTGATTTGTTGTTGGTCTTTTTCCTGATGGGGTCGGTTGTTGAGCTTGTGTCTTTGGCATGTCTCATTGGGGGGCTTTCTACCATCTGCCTATTGTGTTTCTTTCCTTCGAGGGTTGTTGTCTCAATCGAATTTGTGTTTTTGGTTGTTTCTGGCTGCTTGCCTCTCTTTGTTTTGTAGGTTTTGGTCTTTGATTCATGAGGATTCATTTTTATTGCATCTGTTGTTGTACATGGTTGGAGGTTGAGTTGTCTGTTGATCTACTAATTGGTTTTGATTTTGGTTTTTCTTATTTTTTCTGTAATAGGTAGGATTTCAAGCTCATAGATTTTATTTCAATTGTTATAAATTTAGAGAGTTTCTGAATTTTTATTAAAAAAATTTGAAGCGGCAGCTAATGAAAAGTTCAAAGAGTCTTGGAAGTAGAATCTTTAATTAAAAAAAGATGAAAAGATCGATTGAAAGTTTTAAGATATGATAAAGTAAAAAAACCACAGAAAATATGAATAGTTCAATTTGCCAATTAATCTTCTACAAGTGTAAGCTTACAATTTAACGCAGCTCAGCATAGTTTAAAAAAAATATTCCGTCTCACGACCTGATTATAATGGCGGACTGAAAACATAGTTTGTGAGGTGGATCTTCTACATGTGTAGCAGAGGTGATCAATATGAACCTTTACGGACATCAATTTGAGGAGAGCTCCATAAATATGTGCATCGTAACACGTAAATGAATAGAGTAATTATCTCAGCACTCTAGGCGCCAACTCAAACTAACAGTTCAAGTCTTACAACCCATTTTCTATGACAGGATAAAGGTGTACCATTATAATCTTTGACTCATATTGTGAAATTATTTTAACTACATATTTTGCTTGATTTTTTATATAAAATGTTTATGACTTTTATAAGCTATAATTTATGTATCTGTGTATGTAAAAATTTTATTATTCTAAAAGAGATGAGAATGCTCAAGTCGATGAGTGGTTTCATTCTTAGAGACAAAATGTGAAATGAATATATACATGAAAGGGTTGGTGTAGCTCCTGTGGCAGGCAAAATGGAGAGAGTCGTCTTAGATGATTTGGACTCATCAAACATCAGATTTCTGATGTAGAAATTATTACGTGTGGAGTCCAGATGTAGAGTTACGTCCGGTTATGCGAATGTACACACTGTATACAAAAGTATACTGTGTACTTTTGTAAACAATATTATTTTTTTATTTTTTATTTTCAACTTTTATACACAATATGTATATAAAGTGTATTCTCACAGCCTGAATGTAATGTAATAATTTCTCCTTCCGATTACCTCATTAAAAGAGTAGATATTGGTCTATGTTAAAAAAGATAAAATTGACTAGAAAATATTAGAAATAATATTTGTTTTATTAAATTCAAATAAAAATTTAACTCTTAATATAAACAATAAAAAAAAATTCCTATAGCCGTCTCTTTATGTTGCTGTGAAATTATAGCACGTTAACAACTATACAAATTTCACGGGATGTAGATTTTTGAATCGCGCGACAGAAATTAATCCTCTTTTAAACGGATTTTTATTAGGTTTGGACACTTGACGTAGCTCTACATCCGGACGTTAATAAAATATCGCCACGTGCTCTTACTCTTTACCGCGCGACCCGACGACCCGACCCGGATCGGAACCCAATATTACTATGTATTAGCTAATTTGTACAGACCAGAGTATTGCTAAGTTTTGCTCGGTATTGCTCGGTAACGAGAAATACCATTATGTCAAGACCAATACCTAGCAATACCGAGTAATACCTAGTAATACCGAGCAATACCCCGATTTTGCTAGGTATTGCTCAGTATTGGTCTTGACAGAGCGGTATTTATCATTATTGCTAAGCAATACCTAGTAATATTGAACAAAACCTAGCAATACACGAACATAGCAATACCGGGTTTCCATTCTGGGTCGGGTCGTCGGGCCGTCGGACCGCACGGTAAAGAGTAAGAGCACGTGGCGACATTTTATTGAAATCCGGATGTAGAGCTACGTCAGGTGTGCGGACCTAATAAAAATTCCTTTTAAACAGTAAAACAGGCCAAGTTAAGTGTAAGAATATACATCCCATCTTCCTTGGTTAATTTTAGTGTGGATGTTTTGAACTAAATTTTCACGTTGGAAAGCAAAGACCAATTATTTTGATTGTAAATCTCCACTGATTATTTTAAATTGTAATTAAAAAAATAATAGAGGGTTAATTAGCCATACATTTTTTTTATGCATTTACCACGGCAAGTATTCCAGATGTGCAAACTGCAACTCTTGACATCACGTTCGAAACTATTCACCATCTGATCTCGATCAGACGGACCAAGTTTGCGTCTTCACTAGTTCCTTCTAGAGGAAAGAAATGTTGGAAGCTTCCCGATTTCCCGGTTCTGACTGATCGACATCCATCCTTGGTATGACATGTGTCAAGATACCGCGTGACGAAATATTTTTTTCCCTTGCGCTTAGAATAAGGAAAATTTTGGTCACCACGAATCTAGACCAGGATAATTCTTAAGGCAACGTTGACGCATCTTGGCCGTAAGATAAGTTATTATGTCCGAAAATTAATCAGGATGTGCTAAGTTATTTTTTTGCTCGGTGGCGATGTTGGGTATTGAATGATGTGGCGTGTTTTGATTGACTTCCGCACCGTCAGGTATCCGCACATAATAATTTCTCAACCATAAACTTAGCCGGCCTTCTCTGATCAACTAGATTAGACCGGGCCCAAGGCCCCGAATTGCAGCACAAATCATGTACCATATATTTCACCTTCTTTATAGCTAGTAAGGTTTGTGGCTCGATAATCGTAACAACTTATTTAAATTTAAATTACATAATTTATATTTGATTATTAATTATTAATTTTCAAGTCACTTTGTAATTTAATAATTAATTTTACTAGCTTCAATATTTAAATTTTGTAGCTAGAAAAATGTGAATTTGTAAGGCCTAGGAAAGTCCATCTAGTCCTTATGTAAGCCCTAGCCATTCTAAGATCTAGTCAACCATGTGGAGTACCTAACGTTCTCATGCTTGCCCAAAGAAATGTCAAACCAGTACCCAAACTATGCCTCATAGTGACTCCCCACTATTCCACTTATTTCGGCAACCAAAATTTAACCTTCTCTTTATTTTTTTCTTCCCCACTATTCCACTTATTTTGTAATTATTAATTAGTATTAATTTAATGGTTTCATCATTTTTTATATGGTCCGCAAATTTTTTGTAAAAACTCAAATAATTCGAGATTAAGGTTTCATCATTTTTGATGTCGCTCACAAATATATGTTTCTTAAAGCAGTTTTTTAGTACAAAATTTTAATTTTTTACTAAAAAACTACTTTAAGAAGCAGTAAGAAAGACATCCCAAACAAAGCCTAAATTTACTCTGTGTGCGTGCGAATTTTTATGATTTTTTTCTGGTCAATGAACATTCAATCCTTCGAGGGCAGGTCCTTCAACAACTTCAAGTTTTTTCCATGCCATCAAGCCCTCACCAGTTTTTTTAATTTTATCTTTTTGATTTAATTTGTGATTTTGGTTCACATTTTGGACAAGTATTTGGATTAATAAAAAAATATTTATTGTTCTATTTATTCTTCTATAAAAGACATCTCAAATGAAGCCTTAATGAATGGCTTTTGGCAAATTTTTAGAGGAAAAATATAGCCTAGAGAGAGAAATCAGTGTTTGTCATAGATTTTTTTAGTAAGAGGTCAAGGGTTTTTTTATTAAATTTTGCAGAATATTTGTGGGTTTTTTTAGATTTTATGGAGCAAAAAATCCCTCTAATAATGTATTTATTTAAAAAAAAAAAAGCCTTGGATTGAATTGGTTTGAATCAAACTTGGGTTGAGATTTTTTAGGTTGATTCAAACTAATTCATTAATGATCAAGGCAAATTGAAATGGTTTGAATCAACCCAAGTTTACTTAGTGATCAACTCCCCTTCCTTCCATTTTTTGTCATCCACTTATAGTTTATGTGCTCTAAGGTGATATACACTATAACATCACAGTCACTTGTGTAAGCACCTGATTCTTTTTAAATGAATTTTAAATAAAAATCTGAATTTCTATTTGAAATGGAGCACTACGGCACTGAGCTTACGAACATTACAGTGGCACTGACCTAAAAGTGCAGCGGTGCCAGAAATTGCCACATTGGCATTGAAGGCTTTGTTCTACAGTAATTGTGGATTCAACATGTAGCATCACACTGTTCTGTGGTTGCGTTACGACGCTACACAATAAATTCATTCTACATGTATTTTTCTTTCATTTCTCCCCACTTACGACGTTGGTGACTGTTATCTTAGCTTTGTTTTCAAATATTTTGATTTTGACCTTTTGACTTCTTCTAAATTGAATTATTTCATTTTTTTCGGATTTAGTAAACTTCTATCGTGTAACTTTTTATATGTTATAGTCCTAATTATTTTAGATTTTTTGACTAGTTGATTTATTAATTTTAACATGTAAAATAAAAGTTATTGTGTTTTGTAAGATTTGCACAAAATAATTTTTTTGGCATTTTAGCATTATGAATGAATACGAGAATGTGATTGAGTAATAACATGTTGTTATTATTATAATAATATTATGATAGTAGTATGTGTGAGGATAAGTTAAGATTGATTTTATTTGCATTGACTGATGATTGATTGACTTATACAGAATATTGGGCTGACTTGCTTTCCTTTAAATATTATAGTTTGATATTATCCTCATATTATTTATGTGATTCACTGATTGAGAGTTATAAGAAATTATTATTATGCAACGAGCAAAGAGTGACCACTGTGTTTATGAGCTAACAATTATTAATTACTGATCACTGCTATTAGAAAAATACTATGCAAACTAGAACTTTTTACTAATTTAACGTGATTTCTAGAATGCTTATTACTGCACTATTGTTACTGTACTGTTTTCTATTATACTAATTTCTATTACTGTAAT